AGGGCGACTTTTATTTAAAGTAACCAATATATGTATAAAAACTCCCCGAAAAATAATGAAGTTTAAAATCAACCAGCAACAATTTGCCTTCAAACTACAAACTATTCCCGTGCAACTTGGGAGTTACCTGTAGAACTTATTCAACTATATTTTTTTTTCATTGGAGTTACTACAATTAGCTACGTCCACTTTACGTCTATAATCTATTTCAGCTGTTTCATACAGTTGAAATAGATTACAGCGACGTAAAGTAGTTTGCAACAACATCCACTTTTATTATTAAATTTAAAATAAACTATTTATTAAATAAAAAATAAAGAACGTAATTTATATGAAATTCATCTGCCATATAAACTAGGGTCAATATAATTACGAGAACAGTGAAACAGGCATTAAATCGTGTAAATACCAGTAATTTTTCTGCTGCAATTAAACATTTATCAATATGCTATATTAATACTACTGAATGCTTAATGATCACAACGAAACTTTTCCGTCTACTTTCGTTCTTGTTAATAAAGTATATAATTTACTACAACTATTAAGGCTATGATGTTTCGAAGAACCAACTTATGGAGCGAAAATGTTCAAGCAATTATAGACCTAACAAACAGTTTAGTACAAAATTGTTCAGGTGCTGTTCGGTTTTATGAAAAACAATATGGCGTCGTATATTTTTTGTATTAAGATATAATAAGGAGAATGTCGTTCTTTTATGACTTCATTGTCAAATTTTGGCTTTGCTTTGGTCATAAAGTTGGGGAAAACTATAAGGGTGGAAGTTTTGACGCCGGGTTTATAGTTATTAATTTTTCAGGATGAGTTTCATATCGTAATTTAGAAGTGTGACGGTAAATACCTTTTGCATTATATACATTGATGAACGTATCCAACGATGTTTTCTTATTTAGTTTAATATTAAAACAATGTTCAATATTTGTGATTTAAATTAGGAACTTCGCAAAATATAATTTGAAATACTTTATTTGAAGTAAAGTTGACAAAGTTGGAACTGAGGAAAGTACCAATTATTTGAACGAACGGTTTTATACTTTATCAAAGCTTATGATATCAAGTTCTAATAGGTATAATCCTATTACCGCCCTCGATTGAAACATCATATATGAAGGAATAATTAAAATTTAATGGTTCGTTTGAAATCGTCCCACCAAACAAGTTTCGCTTTATGTTCATCTAATTATGAAGGCTCAAAACGTCTAACTTGTTGGAAGATATGTACAATTTGCCTAATGACTTCGCTAATCTGAAGCTTGCAAGCGGTTGAGTGGAATTAGAGTCTTGTTTCTGGATTAAATATTATTCGATTACGGATCACATGCCAGTGTTTGTTCTACTCAAATTTTATTTTTTATCTATGATACATTTGGAAAATTATTAACAGCGACTACCTAATGTATTTGATCTCACAGAATTATATTTTGTATTTTTTTTTTGAGTTGGATAAAAACTTTATGTTCATTTTTTATTTATATTTTACTAATTTACTAACGACCCACTCTGGTTTCGTATGGGTGTAATGCCGGTACTATACTATGCCACTATTTAATGGATGTTATCACACAAATAAAATTTTCTCTTTATTCACTCTATCTATAAAAAAACGCATTAAAATCCGTCGCTTACTTTAAAAGATTTAAGCATACATATATACAGATTCCGATAGGTATGGGGACAAAAAAGCGACTTTGTTTTATACTATGTAGTAATACCAGAAGTATCCTTAGTCACATAAGAAAGACATAACTAATGGAAATATAAATGGTATTTTGATACTATTGTCTTTAATGTTGAATTGTAACCACGAACCTCTTTTCTCTACAAGCATTAGCTGTCATCTTTCCGTTCACTACCTTTCCAGCCATATCATCTTTCACACAGGACTGGTTTGTCGTACTATGCGAATAAGGATCAATTCATATAGAGACGCTGCGCACACGTCTTAAAATATCAACTTAAAAACAACTTTATTATCTATATTATTAGACTCACATTCTACGCGATTCGTCGATTCACTAGCCTCTTAGGGCGCTTTGTAATGTCCATCATACATACATTGTTCTTACTGTTTGTATCATTCTGTTTTGCGCTGGTGAAGGTGCGATCTGCTTCTGTAATATTTTGTTTCGTCATCTCAGTGAGGTTGCCGGAGCCCCCCATATTTCCCCTTCCCCAATCTAAATCTAAATTTCCAAACCCTAATCCCCAAAAAAGCAACATCCTTCCCCCTAAATCCCTAACTCTCAAAGTCTCTAAACCTAATCCACAAGGGGCCGGCAACGTACTTGTAACCCCGTTGCGCGTTGTTGCCATGTCCATGGGCGGCCCTGATTGCTTACCATCAGGTAATCCGTCTTTTCATTTGCCGTCATATCACATAAAACAAATAATGTAGGATGAACGTCGACTAACAGTATCGTCACAATGTGTCGCATCTCGGTGTGAAATGGCCTTAACAGTTGTCGTTGTTCTGTTCTGCCTATCATGAGTCATGACATAAGATGCTATTGAAATCAAAAAAGTCATAACCGTGATTTATATTACTGTTATTTTTAAGAATCAAATAGATTTCGGTTTTATTTTAACTCGACGATGGCGTATGCTTTGTTAGTCAACTACAAAGGGAAATATTTCTGTTATTTCCGTGATTATGTTTAAAGTTTTCGTTTGTCATTAGGTATGTGTTAGCTTAAAAGAAATTAAAAAAATAATCACAGAATTAAGAAAGTGCAATGAGTAAATATATAAATAAATGAATATTAAAAAAACTTTATTAATTAAAAGTCAACCATTTAGATAATAATCTGAACAAAGTACACTACGAACATAAATTCTCTTAAGATCACATCGAGGCCAACTTTATAGATACATCAAACTATGCCTTCTAATCGCTAAGTCCAAGATCTAAATCACGAAGTCCCTTTATGACAGAAGTTTCTGATGTCAGGCAATGTGGCCTTAAGGACACAATAATTGTGCCCTCGACGATTAAAACAAGGGTCCCATATTATGTTCATTGTTTACGTGACAACCCTAAGAATGTACTAAATATTGAACGGTAAGATAACATGGCTATTCCAGTGTGAGTTGTGAGAACTAAATCCTAACTTTGTTTAATTTTTTTCTTAAGATACTGTTCATGTTTTACTTTTGTAACAAACTAAATATATGTAATATTTTTATCGATAGGATTAACTTTAGGTATGGCGAGAGAGAGGGTCAAACTCTTACTTACTAAACACTCCGTTCCTTCTCCTGCTCCAGGCCAGGGCCGCAGTAGATTATTTCGTTTTACTTGCGACTCCGTCGATTGGATTACTCGTAGGTCATGATTCAAACTTAACCTTTCCATAATTCGAGCCACAATGAAGAACAATAGGTGGGAGAACGCTTTCGCCTTCGTTCGGTTTGATGAATTAAGGGACATAATATTATAGAGAACCAATATCAAAAGAATTTCAGAATGCAACTAGATTTCCTATTAATTATCTATTAAATATTTGTTCTAACATAAACATAACACACTTTTCAAAACACTTTCACTTTAAAAAACACGCATTTCCATTTTATTTATATCTCTTCTAAAGAAATTTAAGAAAAGTAAATAACTTCGTTTATTATAAGTAAGTACATAAATCCATTAACACAGTCCCTGTTATTCAATGTAGACAAAGAGCAAATACTTCGTCGAATCGAACTTTTAAATTCGTGTCAATGAAAATTCATACTGTATTTGTATATTTGAATAAAATTCTGGGGCTTATATTGAATTTATCATCGTGAATAGCTGGAACAATTCACTGTTGCACGTACATTTATTTCATAGTTACAATCTTTTCATATAGGGTATGATGGCCAATAAGTAGACGGCATAATTCATGGGCTTGCGCAGTTTTACCATCTTGGGATCCGTCTAAACGTTTTTCTTCTAATCCATAAAAACCGACGGATCATGAAATGGTAAGCGACCAGCGCCTTTGGAGATCCACAAAACTTGAAGAGTTTCAGTGCTTTGCCGGCGTTTTAGGGTTTAAGGACTTAAGGACTTGGGGATTGTTAAACGGGGACGGGAGTATGTTGGGTCGGTAACCTCACTCACACAGCAAAACACAAACGTTGTTTCACGCCAGGTTTTTGGGAGGGCGTTATATTATTTTAATTGGCCCGACCCATTCGTGTCGAAGCATGGCTCTCCCAGACTAACATTTCAGTAAAGTAATCATTATTTTGTTTTTTTTTATCTTCACATCACTTCTAATTATAGTTGTAAGGTGTTTTCAAAATACTTATTAAAATATCTTAATCAAGATTAAAGTCTAATTTCCATTTAATAGATGTGACTTGCTGAAACATATTACAGTTTTAGTAAATTGATTTACATATTCAACTCACGAAATGTTTCACAACTTCGAAGGCCATTTTGTATATCATTTTAGTATTTCTATAATTATATTTTTATTTTTGAATGTCATTGTACCCATTAGTAGCTGTAATATATTATTTACTCTTATTTTTTAATTACATATTTATTTATACATATTTTAACTGTTAATTTTACTTCTAGTGCATTCTTTCCCTTGAGAATAGCAGCATCTGATTGATAAATATGGGAGCAATGCCCTAACGATTTGCGCAGTTCTCCTCTCATCTTTATTGCTGTCAAATTTAAGAACTAAAGTTTATTACATGACACGATGTAACACACTAAATTCAGCGAAGGATGAAACACGAAAATCAATTCTTCACCAGTTACGGGTTCCTTCAGGAGGGGTGGGATGAAGAGATTTGTTATAAAAGATTTAGTACCTAAACTGTATTCCGGTATGTTTGTTATTTTGTTAACCAATTATCCCAAAAAATTTAAAAAAAATGAAAAAGAATTAAATAGTCCTCACGTTTATCAAAGAACTTACCTAAAGGTTAAACAAACAAAAAAGACAATGACATCGAACAGATATCATTTATTACACAAAAAACATGTTTTAATAAGGCCGGACACAATTGGTTTTGAACGACGCTACAATGTCATCGAAAGTGTAAGCATCAGAAATCACAGGTGCATCAAAGAATGGATCAGTTGGTGCAGACTCAGAACCTCCCGAAAGACCATTGGATGATGGGTAGACATGGAAAGCAACGGGATACACATAGTTCTGTTCATACGTCACTTCACCAGCAGAATTCCACGTCATCCTCTGAATTTGTCCATGCCAGCGCACCACCACCGACGGATATGCATCGCCACCTTGTAATGTCCGGAACTTGCATTCAAATTTTAGCGGCAAATCCTTTGCATCACTGTTCTCAGGCACCACAATAGTCTCTGTCTGCTGAGCCACTCTCCCCTCACACAACTCTAACACAAATAATAACAGCAGAGGAAATAAATACTTCATCTTGACTCTGTAAAACAACACCGGCGAATGAAGCAAATTTAATGTGGACCATTCCATTTCACCACGCGTAAACATCATTAGATAAGGAGGGTAAGAGTCAAGTTAATGTGTTTGTGTAAGATAAAACTATCGCTTTATATCTCTGCCAAATGTCGAGTTTAATGTTTTTTGTTCACGATAGTAAAAGTCACATCTTAACTTATAGGTATTTTACTGCATGTAGGTAAACAGGAAAAGAGCGATGCCTTTTTATGATCGGTGACCTCTTTAAATGAACTTATCAGGTATAGTAGACAGTCATAGTTTAATTCACTTTGTTATTTCACCTTACTAAGAAGGACCACCTTGAAAATGTGACTCGACAAATTTAGGTAAGAGCAATAAATTATTTTTAAATACTACACCTGAAGTACCTTTTTACCCAAGTAACAAAATTGCAACTTAAAAAGAGAAAGATTCCGCTGCCAAAGCAAAAAGGTCATTTAATTTCAATTGAAAACCTAACAAACTTCTATCCCATTTCGCATTAAAACAATTAAAGTTTTATGTAGCAGCGAACAGAATCTTCATCTACTAAGAAGATTAACGCATAGCCTTGCCCAATAGCGCGATATCCTAGGCAACTTTAGATCGTGACTTACTATAGTTCGGTCCATAAAGCATTTTGGCTCCGCGGGTAAGTTCACCGGGCGAAAGATCAAAAGGAAGCTCGAATGTTGGGCGGGAAATAGCTTCAATTAGCCAGTTTGTGTTCTAGGTTTAAATTTAGAATTAAGATTAGATTACTTTCTTTAATGGTTTTTAGTATGTTTTATAAATGGCCAGCGATTTTATTTGTAAGTGGATACTTAGCATTGATTGAATTTGAGATTATAGAGCTTTATTATATAAGATTCTTGAGCTATTATTATTTTTCGAGAACTGGCCAAAAAGACAGAGAAAGTGAAAACATTTGTTTTTATCTAGAATTTAAAAACCACATTTTATGAATCTAAACCGTATAACTGTGTTTTACAAAAATAAAAATAATTTGTCCTTGAAAAAAAATTCCTGTTTAAATTTAGACATTAGATAACTATCTATATATATAATATTTAACATTAGATAACTATCTATAATGACTTGTAGTCTGATTTATAAATAACCAGTGATAGCTACACTTTGTAGCTATCTACAAGACCGCATATACAAAGGCAGTTAGAGAGAGAGAGAGAGAGAGAGACAGAGAAACCATTTGTTTTTATCTAGAATTTAAAAAATGACCTGGACCTTAACTCTATCGCTATGTTCTGAATTAATGTTTTGCAATGAAACACTGAATCTACTACACTAAAACCATTTTGTCCTTGAAATATTTTCTGCCAACTACCTCTAGTCTAGTATTTAGGTGTTCCAATGAAATCTAAATGTAGATTATCACAACGAACTTTATCAGCAAAGTTGATATTGATCAAGCAAATTTGTAGGCAGCCTAAGGTGACTGGCACAGTAAGGCTCTTTCGAATTATATTGTCTAGAACACCTTCACAGCGTGGATAACTTTGTAGCGAGAATGATTGTGTTAACGCTTTACTCAAGCGTTACGTACGTAGTTAGGTACAGGAACGTGATATAATTGTAGCAACTGAGAATTGTCTCACGAATGGGTCTAATGTTATCAACTTAATTTTGTCTCTCACTTCGAAATGTTTTACTTTAGATAAAGGCTTTAACGGTCTATTTATCTTTGTCTTTAAGTTCAAAGGTAATGTGTATAAGTATAAAGAAGTACATTGCTGTGCAAACTTTCATCAATAATTGGTTTGTACTACATTTATTTAGTAGTTTTTCTTAAATTACAATTGTGAAGTTTTTGGGAGCGTTGCGTTCGCAAAAATGTAAACGGTTTGACCGATTTGGTTGAAATTTAGTATGTAGAAAAGTACCCTGGATTAACACATAGGCTGGGCTTCTTATCAACATACCACGCGGGTGAAACCATGGGCGGAAGCTTGTACGTTGTAAATCATAAAATTGAATGCTTCTCACAGTTTTTTAATAATCTTTAAATGACAATTTTTACAATGTTTTGGGAGTACTTAAAGATCAACTACCTTTTTGAAGGATGAAGATTTTTGCTCGTTTTCGCTGTTCGTCGTAAGGCACCTTTTATTAAACATTTCAGAACAAATTAACATAATATGCCTACGTGGAACAAACAGCAAAAGCTATAAATATATTTAGCACCTACCTGACCTGAATCACACATTTCAGATAATCAAGGTTTTACTAATAAACCCAGTTGGAGAATGAGCTTAGAAGATATAAAAAAAATGTTGACCAAAACTAATCAGGTACCACAATAAGCTATACATATAAATATTTTATTTCATACAAACCTGACCCGAAAACAGGTGACTTGGCATACAGATTTATCTTATAAAAATGGTCATAAAATTTGTAGATCGAATGATATGAAGTCACAGCGGGTACAGTTTGGTCAAGACGACGGCAAATATATAGAAACTATCGCATTTGATATCCGAATAGGCGAGGGCAATATATCCGAACGAAATCCACAGAGACCAAGAGTCCGTAGAGCAAATAATATTTTATCTTATTTTCTCAACATTTGCCGTTTTATACGTCATTCATTTATAGGAAAACTTTTCTAGATAACATTTAGGTTGTAAGGATCAGATTTTTCCATGTTTGTTTTAGTGTCCTTCTTATTTAATTGGCACGATGTTTATCGATACCTTCTGGCCTATATGAACACTACATAAGCGGAGTTTTTCCATATACGCTTCGCCTGGTTCAAGGTTTAAAAGAGCCCTGGTGCCTACATCGTATCATCAGCCTTTAAGTGCCCATTGCCGAGCAAGGGCCTTTTCTCACACGGAGAAGGTTTGAATATTAATCATCACGTTTTCTCACATAACTAGAAATTATAAGTCCAGGTTTCCTCACGGTTTTTTCCTTCACCGTATGTCAGTGGTGTCTAAATCATCAGAGAAAATGCAGTATGTAATTGCCAGGTTTCGAATCCGTACCGAATCAAAGGCGGACGCCTTAACCTCCACCTCGGCACCACGACATGTATGTAACTAAGACTGGGCACCAGCGTGCTCCAGTAATCTTTTAGTCGATTCTTTCAGCAATCGGGGGATAAGAAGTGGCGTTAAATGTATTCCTCGTTTTGCCTTCACCATATGATTCAAGTCCTAACTTTGTACTCCCAAAATAATTGAAAGCAAAGTATCTAAGCACCACTCCAAATTATTAGCGACTTCGTCACTCGTGAAAATTGTTTTACACTAACTTTTGAGACTGAAATGTTTGAATTTTATCAGAAGTTACACCGTTTTACTTTTTAATTAATGCCGATGTTTATAGGATTTCACTAGCGTTTGTGGAAATCGAATATTAATGAACGTAGTTATCAGGTTAGGAAAATAATTTCTGAATATATAGGTAGATAGGTATGTATGTGTATTTACTAGAATTTACATAAGAGAAAACTAATAATCACAAACATTCCTGTTATTGGATATGTTTACTTTGTTATTTATTGTTTACATAAACTAAATACATCACGTAAATCCTAATATAGTCTTATCTCGAGGGAATTGGTAATTTCAACAGGAGAATGATATTTCATAAACACTTTACGTCGTATTTTTTATTAAAAGAAGTTGCCCCATATTTGTATTTCCTTCTGTATCGTCGATGCGTTTACAAATATAAAAATCACAAACAGAAACCATCTAGACTCGAAACAACAATTTGTAGGTGACACAAAGTGTTGTTCCTTGCGAACTCGAATCCACGACACGTCACACGGCAGGCAGTGCCCATCCATGACGCTAACCACGCAGTCTTTAGTCGAGTTATTGCAAGTGAGAGTGCTAGGGATCTCGGGTTGTTTTTTTTTTTCATTAATTTTGTCTTCTACCGCCCTGGGTGTGGCAAGAGAGAGTGTCAGACTTTTACCAACTAAAATAGCGGCTGCGCGGCTGGGGCCGCGCTACCTTATTTCGCTTGCACTCGCTTCCACGGCTGTGTCTGGGGTTTGATTAACGTGTTGGGAAATCTATATTGTTTGTATGTTAACAAACGTCGTATGTTAGTAAACGTCTTGTTAATTTGCACACCGCAAACGAGCAAGACGTTAATAAAATTCTCGGGAATTTTAAATGCATGAAAATGAGTATAAAAGTGCTGACATGCTTATCTTACTAAAAATACTATAATAATTAACACGTGTCCGATGAAACATATAAAGCTTTACACAATATCTATAAAGCTATTAAAGCTACTTAGCTTTTATAAACATTTACACGAACAAAGCATTCTCATACTAAATAAACAATAGAGAATATTCTCAAATTGAATTCTATTACCGTAGTCTATTTGCAAACAAACAACAAACCAGCATGTTAACTGTATTTCGCATTTCCACAAAATCCGGTACCTAGGTAAATACTTTACTGGTACTGGGCACCAATAAGCCATAGTAAGTAGTAAATAGTCGAAATACAAAATTCAAAACCGGCGTGAGACAACCACAGCGTTCTGTTTCGCCGTTTATGATGTTGCTGGAGGCCCAATCCTTTCCCTGCACTGATTCCTTCCAAATCCCTCATTATTAAAATACTGCCAACGCGTGATAGGACTGGCTGACATGTGCAGCGCTTATTGCTTACTATCAGGTAAAATAATCATCATCTAGCATGTGCAAAATAAACGATTTGATTTGATTTGCATCACATAAAAAATATACATATTCAAAACAGGCAAGTTTCTTTAGTAGCTACCCGTACCATTTTCGTAACGATACTCTTACACCACAATCCTGCTAAGATAAGGTTCTTGCTAACAATACAGTATGCACTACAGACCGAAGAACGCTTAGGTGTAATTAAGGTGTAGAATTTACTCGCATAGCCGTGTGTGTTCCAGTTATTAAGTACAAAATTACCCAATTTGGTAGAGTATAGTAAGATTACGAAGATGACTATGATTGGGTCATATTTTTAAGAAATGTTTAGGACAGGCTATCTAGAATGCCGGTGTCAAACAAATTTTTCTCTTTCGTCATATGAGTAAGACTACTGAAGGCCTTATCTACGCCCCTATCCATACTTCCTTAATAACCTAATTCTTATATTGACAACCCCAAAATGCTCGCAATGTACGTGCAACTCTTTTTATGGTATCCTAAGGGTGGTGCCGATTGCTTACCATTAGATGTTTCTTTTTATTATTTTTGTTTTTTATTTATTATTTAAGAAAATTTTCTTTTACATGATTCTGCGGGTAATTTTTAAAAAAATAGTACATTTAAATAGTATATCCTGTACATTTTGCCCTCTTATATTATCATGAATGCGGAATAACCCATTACAAATATACAAAAGAAAAAAGAAAACAACTAGGCACTTAAAAGCATGAAAAATATTCATTCATGCTTATTAAATAATTTGTAGCACTCTTTTCACACAACAATCAAGAAAACGGCTCTGTAATAAACTACATATACGTCAAACGCTTAACATTTGACAATTTATTACTCACAATACTCGCAGCTGGAGCGTAGCCTATTAACCACAAGAGACCAACAAATAAATCTCAATGACAATATAACATTACACAAAATAGGAAAACGCTAACTCCATACATTTATCTCCCTAAACCAGCCAGCAAGAAATTGCCGCCATTTTGCGGATGGATGGAAATTCTTAATTGAATCAGTTAAGTAATTGAACTAATTATGACAAGACTTTCTGATGAGGCCACTTCAATCTTCTTTTAGCCTTCGCGATTATTAACCTCAATGTTGGAGATGATTGATAAATGCATTTGTGATAATAAGAAGAGGGTCAGCTGTTTGGTGAATTTGTATAAAATGAGAGGCTCAGACTATTCCATCTCAATTTTAACCTTATGGTATTATTTTCGGTATATAAACGTGGTACTTAATTGCCTTTCGCGCAAATGGGGTGTGTAAAGTACATTTCCAAATACCTTTACATTTGCGAAAACCAGGCCGGTCTAAGACACGTAATAAAACAATAAAAGTCACATTAAACACCTGTGTAATAAAAATGTCTCACGAGAAAACATTGCCTAAATAAAGCAAAGATTCTTATAAAAATATCACGTACAACATAAAAGATAATGCGTTCTGCTTGAATGAATGAAGCCTTGACGAAAGCTTATATTACAACGTCATTTAAATATCATAAAGTTCAAGGTGAGTCTAATGACCAAAATATGACAGGAACATTAGGGTCTACACTAACACCATCACAATGAACAAAGCTATAATTTCGTGTATTGACATTTCCTTCTTGTTTGTCAGTAGGTACATAATAATGACATTAAAAGCGATTCGTCAATCACAAAGTTCTGGAACATTTTAATTGTATTTGTATTGGCTGGTACTAATGGGTCTTTGAAGGGCAGTCACTAAGTGTATACTTATAATGTAATTAACCCTATCAATAGTATTGTGATTTGCTTACTTTATAAGACAGTTAACGTTGTAAAGTAAAGATAAATAAATTATAATAACCAAGGAGTTCCATGGTGAAGTACACAATTACGAAGAAAAAGAAGAAGGAGATTCTTCTGGTATTGCAAGCGACGTTTACTAACTATGAGGTGTTCACTTACAATGACTTTATTCAGTCCTTTTCCATTAAAATATGAGGTTAACAATAATAATATATTGTGCAAGTGTGTTAAAGCCCTAATTCGGCACGAATGGCTCAGCTCAGTCATGCGGAGTGACGCTAAGGCCTCATACCGTTATGAACGATTAAACTGGCATAAAATAAACACAGAGTTGTACTTCAGCGTGTGAGTGGGGCTACTGGAGGCCCAAAAATTTCTCCTTCATCCTTCCCCAATCCCCAAATCTTAAGAACCCTAATCCCCGTAGGTATTCCGTTTGTCCATGGGCAGCGCTGATTGCTGACTATCAGGTAACCTATCAGATCTGTTACCGGTCGCCCTATCACATAAAAAAACTGTAGTATTTATTTTATGTCTGTCTCTTGGAGGAAGAAAACTCATAAAGTCCTGAGACATTTCCTTTCTCGACCTCAATACGCACTCGCCGTAGACTCTTACACGCAAGTGCGATACAGATTAATCACTCCTGTCATTAGCCGGTTGCCCGAGTAGTTACTAGTCATCGACTGAAATCCAGAACAACTCATTTCTCTTGACATACAGTATTAATTAATTCATCGTCTCAGACCATTGCGGATCAATGCTCTATGCCACAAGATGGACTGACGATTTGAGTGATGGGCAAGCTCCATTGACGTTTATTGTTGATATCGATGTAGTAATATCGTGTTGAGTGAAGTGGACCTATAGGTGAATACGATTGAGTAAAAATAGCGTTGATCTTCGACAGAAGTTTAGTTGTCATTGGTACCAAGTTAATAAAGTGAAAAAGAAACAGATGTCGCTCAAAATGTTCTGTATTATTGGGCAATGTGATAGTGATAGTTGTGGATAGACGATGTGCTGAAACAAGTCAAGCGTCAAATGTTGTGCAATCGATATGAAGATTATTTTAAACTAGCTTTTGCCCGCGACTTTGTTCGCGTAGAATAGTGACTTCTTGCAGATTTTTGGTTAAAAACTATACTATTTCCTTTCTCGAATTCCAAACTATGTCTGTACCAAATTTTACACAAATAGGTTCAGTAGTTGAGGCGTGCAGAAAAGACAGACAGACAGACAGAGAGACCAACAGACAGAGTTACTTACGCATTTATAATATTAGTACGAAAATTCACTATTGATTTCAACTTAATAAAAGAAAATATCAGAACATATATAATTTACACGAGCATCTTATAAGTTTACCCCAGTACCTCACTATGCTAATTCTCTGAACCAATTAAGCTTGAGTGGTCAGTTTGTTTGGATGTCACAGCTAATCAACCAGTCAATTATAGATACACAGTGATTTACTTCAATTACTATTAAAATTTAAAAGCATTTCAGTATTAATATTGCTTGCTGTTTGTTTTCATATTCACGGTTAGCGCGATGTCTGGGCTACTAGCTACCGCGCAACGAGTCACGAGTTCGATTTTCACACAGAACAACTCTTTGAGTGATCCTCAATTTGTTGTTCCGGGTCTCGGTGCGTGTGTATGTTTGTAACCGCTTAACGACACAGGAGTAAATCCTAGTGTGGGACAATGTTTTTTTAGAAAAAATGATTTTACATATTTATTGTATAAAAAGGCCAAAAGTCAATACCTTTTAATGATAAGAAGGTATCTTTATTGTAATGTTGTGTGTGTAATACTGCTTGACACGTGCGAACGAAAGGAAACTGTTTCACCTTTTGACTCGGAAAAGTGAATCCTTATGAAGATACAGGGCTCAAGGTCATCTCAAATTATTTAGAGGTCAGTCCTGTACTTAATTATTAAGTAAGAGTCACGTGTATCGATTTAACTACGATGCTTAAACTATTGAAAAGTAGGTCGACTGTCGTTTTAATTGACTTTCTGTTTCCATTTGACTAATATCCAAAATTTTTAGAAAGAGAAAAGACCAGACTTCGTGCATCAATGTTTGTTGCCTATAAACAAAAATAACAAAATGAAAAATATCTTAAACCTTGACATTTATTTTCTATTAGTATTGGGATGGAATTGAAATTAAATTCATTTCGCACTAAAAAACAAGTGAGAACCGAAGCTAAAACACATGACCGTTTCAAAATTGTTCTATTTTCGTTTCCAAAAATTCATCAACTTTGCAGAGTTTTGCTTATTTTCTATTGAAGGTCGTATATACTTTAGCCCGCATTCCTTAACCACAGACGCAAATGTGTTCAAAGCTAGATCCGCTATTAATTTCTAACCAAATTATTACAACCGCTATCTTCTCAGCGCAACTTCGTCCGGTGGAGAGTCCGGTGTCCGGCCAAGCGCTACCAATTTCCGGACACTCTCACATCGATGATTGCGGGTACTACGATCCGAATCACATAGAAATAAATCACAGGCTGCCGTACCTATCGTTCGTGCATTTAATGTAAAATGATATTTTCTGTGTTTGTAATCGATTTAGATTACAAACAAAGAAAATGTCATTTTTCCATATCTAGCTTTTGCCTGCGTGAAATAGTGACTTACTGCAGATTTTTGGTTTAAAAACTATCCTATATCCTTTCTTGAGTTCCAAAATATGTCTGAACCAAATTTCACACAACTAGGTTCAATAGTTTAGGCGTAAAGAAAAGACAGACAGACAAACAGACACAGTTATTTTCGCATTTATAATATTAGTTTGGATATGGTTAAATTATTTTTCGTGTGCGTACAGAATTTATTATCTTTAGCGTCAAATTATTGTCAGGTACACATTTTTTGTTACTAATTACCTTTGGACGAATAATAAAATTTAATTGAATTTATAGACACCGAAAAACATGATGTCTAGTTATTACATAACTACATATAAATGGTAACAATATAATATTAAATGAAATGAGCAACAAGAATTGAAAACAGAAGTTACTCGTTCAATTTATATTTTATAAGCAGGATTACAATAAAAGATAAAAGAGCATCGTGCCCTCCTTTTGTAGGTAAAGATCGTAAAATAAAGAAAGTCAAGGAGTACTTGGAAATTCCAAACAATGAAAGAAATCAGAAAACTTTCCCAATAGGTTTCGATTGAAAAAACTTTTATGTACTTTAATGAATAAGATATTAGTTGAAAAATAAGTAGTTTTTTTTCCTTTACATTCAGTTACTTTGTGCTCTATCTTTTGACCTTTTGTTGTTTAAGTCGCCAAAGATCATTTTCCAAATTTGTTATGTATGAAGAACTTGTATCAGTATTGAACGTTTACGTAAACATTTATATGGGTATATCGTGTTTTAAATTTATTTAAAGAGAAATTACCGAACCGTAATATTAAATCCAATATTTCAACCTACCAAATAGTTTGATCATGATAAGTCAAGAAAAAAAAATTAGAAACAGTTTTTGTTTCTTATTTCTGTCTGTTGCTCGTTACAAAACCACTATTAATTAGACTTTACAATACAAAACCTCATCAATCAACTGTATATAATCTACATCAAAAACATAAATCAGTCAGCAAACTAGCGTCAAAGAAGACTTTCATTCACCGAATTCCAAACAACACTTATATAACCAATAATGGCAAAACTTGGTCTGGTCTACGCACAATAATATCCCATTTATTCTAAAATGCTCTGTAATCAAGAAAGGAAACATTCAGTTTAAATTGAAATAGTTCACCAAGCCGTTCGAAGTAAATAAATTACAGTTAGTAAATTACTAACCGTAATTTACTAACTGAAGGAGTTAACTGTGTTAATGAAAATTGCCTCCGATAAGATCTGATGTCTGAGTTATTGAATATGAGACTTGTGATGAGAATGGAGGATACGAAGTCGAAGGGATAAGTTATGGCTACCTTTTATGGCCCGTATTAGGTTTTATAGGTCCTTGTGTCGAGTTCTATGTTGTCCTAGTTTGATGGCCTTTGAAATCTGTTTGACTGGGTTCTGTTTTAGTGCTATATGTAGAACAAGTACGTGATCTGTAATCTTGTTACTGAGTATAATAATATTATTGTACTCAGTAACAAGATTACAGATCACAATATATGAATTGTCTTGTTTGATTATGTCTGTTTTAAAGCAGTTGATATCGATAGGGAGATTCAATTTTATTACGGGAGATAATTCTAAAGAGATCTTTTGGACTTTTCTTTGCTTTACCAAGAATGTGCCGCCGGGTCAATCGGATAATACCGAGACTTTACAGAAAACTGGCGTGAAACAAGGCAAGCGTTGTGTCTCGTCGTGTAGGAAAGGTTAATATTTGCCGTTCTATAACATAAAAATGATTCCTAGTATTTGTATTGGGACTTTGTGTCCTGACTGACTGAACATTGTTTTACAGTTAGTAAAACAATGTTCAGTCAGTAAAAAAACCATGAAACTCTTATATTGAAATGTATGTAGATTCTGAATAATAAACATTCAAATAAATTATTAATTGCATTTTAGCAGTACTGGTTGCATATATTTTTTTACACTCGATGTTAAAATGAGAGAAATGAGTTAAACAATATTTTTTGCAAACAGGTTAAATTATGTTTTTTTTTAAATTACCGGCGTTTTTAAAATTAAAGTAGTTCAATGGAACTACTTTAAAATATATTAACTTGATACTTGTTTTTGTGGGACAAATATTAATGTCGACATATTTAATTAATAGATACTAAACATTTTATAAAACTATCAAGCTTCCCATCTTTAGTAATTAATTAATTTCCTTACATAATTACCTTTAGCAGTCTCAGGAGAAATCGAGTGTGGTCGAATAATTTACTGCTGGCCTTTGTAAATTAGTGTCACAATATACGACGGACAATTTGCGGTTTCAGACCTATTTGGTACTTGCGTCGAGGTATACGGGATATTGGAGATTTTAATTAACTATCGGATAACCTACAACTGTAATTAATAGGGCTAGAAAAAATAGGTTTGGTGGTACTTGTGCATTGAAGGTAGAAAATATCTTTTTGTAGGTATAAATGTAGTTTAAAGTAGGTAATTCGGAAACGTGATTGGTACAGCCATGGCAGGGGAAAGACTGGGATGGTCGACTTTACTCGACCCATACACGGCAGGAGAACATGTGAAATAAGATTCACTTCTCTTTCTTCATAAACATCATAAACAAAAGGAAACATAAAAATATTAGATAAAAGTATAAAAGACTAGAGAGACCTAAGCAAAAGTCCTTTTGGATAGGGCTCTCTAGTTCTAGATTGGTCCTAATTCTTCTTTTGTAAATAGACATATTTTTTTATATGATAGATCGGTCGACCAACCAGCAGATGGATCGCTTGATGGTAAGCAAACAGTGCCACCAATAGACACCCGCTACATTAATGAGTTAAAAGTGCGTTGCCGGCCTTTTGGAGTTAAGGAATATGAGGGCTGAGGATGGAAGGGGAATATTTGGGCCTCGGGTAAGCTCCACTCACACAGTTAAATGAAACGTAAGATTAGTTTCACGCCAGTTTACTATAAGATCATGGTAGTCAGGTCGCGGAGTTGTCATGCTCACTCAAAGGTCTCATTGGCGGTGGCACGGGCACTGGATCGCTCGATTTCCTACAATATGGTTGTGTTGGGCGGTGCTGGTGTACGTGTCATGTTCGTGAAGGGTAGTCGTCTATTGGGGCTGGTCATCTCCAGGCTGTTTAAATATGTTGTCCTTGAGGTTAACTTCTTTTTCGAGTTCTTTGCATAAATATTAGTGTTACACTGTTCTCGCATATCTGAACCGACTAAATGATGTAACAAAGAAATGTATTGTAAAAGTGGTTAAAAAATTGTAACCATGGAGTTTCTTGTTCGTTATTCTCCATAGGAATCTACACTTACGAGCAAACAGCTTCACTAGAGGACAGACATACAGACCGACACGCATAAAGTTAAACCTCTTGAAAATATATCTTCTTTTTTTGCTTGACATTCAAAAGTGCCTACAGTGCTCTAATTGAAATAAATTATTTTGACTTTGACTTTGACTTTGTTCGTGGTATCACGTTCGAGGTTTTCACGTTTGCGATTTCATTATTACATAAAGGTAAAATCCTACAATCTCAACAATAAACAACAACATATACGTATTTTTTGGAACGGCCATTTTAAAAATTGCTTTTAAACAACAAGGCAAAACGCGAGTGATCCGATTAATTCCTCAACTAAAATTCCCCGCGGCACGTTTATGACTTTATTCGGTAAAATAATCCCATCTAGCTTTCAGTGTTACATTTAGTTACATTTAACGCTTTGGTGATTATTATTGTGTTAAGTGAATTTACTAGAATATACATTGCTTCGTTATTTTATGTTTTCGTTGAAACAATTTCATAATTTAAATTCCAAATTCTTGTTTTAAACTGTTATTTTATATTCGTTTATTTTTGTAAGTTATTGAGGTTACTGAAGCAGCTAAAAAAGCTTGGTAAAGAATATGATAAATGGTGTTGATGACACCCAAAATTCAAATTGGCAAAAAATATGTTTTTATATAAAAAATATACTTCAGCTCTTAATAGTACATGTTTCATTGTGCTAGAATAAGCTTAGAAATACACCTGCGCTTAAAGTCAGGTTTTTATTGTAATTATATATTAATAAAGTTCATGAAAACTGAATTAATCTATGAATGACTAGGTCCAGAAGTCTTGTTTATTCAAAAAATATCTTACTTAATCTTAATCAACAATAACATTGTTACAGGTTGTTCATGTATCCGCTACACGTCGACGTATGGCAAGGAGCGTGGCACGTTCAGCAGCCCCGACTACCCGCGCCCCTACCCGTCCCGGATCGACTGCCTCCTCTACACCTTCGTCGCGGCGCCCCACGAGATTGTCGAGCTCGTCTTCACAGACTTCGACATTTTCAAGGAGCATCTTGAGTGAGTATTTAGATTTCAGTCTATTACATTTCAAATCTTGGTCAAAGTCTTGTCAAGAATATTTGTTTTGTGAACCGTGGAGTAACTCATAAGTGTGGATATGGTTTCAATTTCTTTCGAGTAGTTTATTTAATTCAGCCTTTTTCGTGCCTACAATATTTCTTTCTGGTTTGTTTACAACGTACTTATTTAAAGTCTAAATTTATCTGTATCTATATGTTTACAATTTCCAGATAAATTCATTTTTATTTATTGACGTGTCGTATAAAACTACTGTCGCTATTTATAATCCTATTACAAAGTTTCTTTAGGACAATTTTCATATTAAGAAAGATAATATTGACGAAAGCTAACAATAGTTTGTCCCAAGACCCCAATATTGGTGTATGACAAATTTAAATAAATCTTTCAAGTTTGTTCGTAACTCAAGTCTACAAAGTTTAATTCTACAATCAAAATTTCTCGGTAGTAAAATTATTTTAGTAAAAGCTAAGGATGTTTTATTTAGAGATTATTTTATAAGGACTTTTGTTTCTTGGTTTTAAGTAAATTAAGATACACAATCATTGTATGACATAAAACGTAGTCTCTATCTCTGGCCCTACATTCCTATGTGTGCTTAAATCTTTAAAACTACGCAACGGCGTTTGATGCGGTTTTGTTTACAAGATAGACTTATTGAAGAGGAAGGTATCTATGTTTAAAAACACCTATTATATAGTGGAGAAATTTAGTATCAGCACCGATCCGTGCGAAGCTTGGGTAGGTTAAATTTTGAACCTTCTGTATCCGAATGGTGGTTATAGTTGCGCAAGTACAACATACTCAATATGAAATAGTAGGTAAGTGTAGAAAATTCTAGAATCTTTTAATAAATTTACTCAGCACATATTTTAGAAAATCTTTATTCCACACATTATTCCGATACCATTTACTTCGTTTATATAGTTTTGTTCTTCTTACTTCACTTCAATTTTACTTGGTTTCCTAAGTCCAGCGAGTTTTCTGCAGAATTTTACGTAGTCAATCATAGTTGATCCGTCATCTTGTACGATCAATGGAGCTTCGTCGAGAGCATAATCAGCTTCTTTCGCGGTGAACTTGTCTCCAAAGGTCATGAGGTCATGTCTAATCCTGAAATGAAATTCTCAAATTAATTTCTCCAACTTTTCAATTACGAAACTAGATGACCAGATTTCCATACCCTCTCAGAATACGTAAATGTTGATTGAATTTGTTTTAGTACATTTTCTTGTGTTTTTATAGTTGTCTCGGGTACCTAAGCAAAGCGAGGCTAAGAAACAATTTGGTCGATTTTTATATGAAATTAAAACTTATTCATAACTAACCCACTTCGAATAAGCTTTTTAAAAACTTAACTAGGCTATGTTGGTTTGGTGGCCACAAATGCGAAGGTTGATCATTATTAGGTCTTGTATTGGACTCCTGATTTTTTTCTCAGTAGTAAATTGTAATTTGCAATTATAAATAGCAAAAGGGTCACCCCTTATTACATGGACCTCATAACCTGGATATGATAGACATTTGATGATTTACCCCTCACCGCGACCTCGGCCCAGAGCAGGAGAAGAAACGGGGGTTTTTAGTCAGTCAGAGCCTGATGCTATGGGCGGGAGAAGTCATTTAATGATTTTCTCCTCACGAAATAGGCAATAGGTATGACATTATAAAAAAAGGATACTTATTGAAACTTTTCATTGACTTTATATGAATTATTATGCAACGTAATGTAACCTATACATATACCGTCATTATATGTATAGAAAAGTGTTTTACATGTCCATTTTTAAATTTGACGATTCCGAGAAATAAAATCTACTTAATAGTATTCATCGCACACCTCTATTGTTGACGAACCAATTACAAAATACATAAACAGATTTGACGACAAATAAATATTTGTTACAAACAAACTGTCCTAAAATACGGCAAAAATGTACACAAATTAGATAAAACAATAAATATTTTTCCTTTACAAACAATGTCGTGTTTATCATCCCAAATTGATAAAAGGGGAAAGTTCTGCTCGTTTGTTTTTCTCGCGCTCTGCTTATCCAATTGGCGCTGCCATTTATATTCGTCATTGTGATTTTGATGTAATCAGGTTGGTTTAAAAAACACGGTTTATTTCAATTAGGTACATTTCCTTAATTCTATAGTGACCGCTACATCGTTTATAATTCGAATACTTTTAGTTTTTTTTTCAGGTTTATGATTTTATATTATTTATTGTATAAACTTCAAGTAGGTATCAACCATCCTGTGTCGCTCGCCCGCGTTGCCGTGCTGACCGGGCACGGCTGCTTCGGTAGGTTCCTAATTCAAATCAGCCAATAAGAATTACAGAGATCAAATACGTTTCTCTACTTATTCTTTTGTGTAGTAACAACCGTGAGTCATATGAAATAAATTGAAAATAACGACTGACTCACGTGACTTGTGACTAACGTGATTGAAGTAGTAGACTCTTTCCTAGTCTTTGCCGTGATTATCAATAATATTTACTTTTCGAATTCATTTCGAAGACATTGAGCTAAAAAGAACAAAGAAGGTTCAATGAGATTTTTAATCTTAAGATGTGTAAGACCATAGCAACCAGTAAAATATGACTCAGTTTAAACGTGACGGAGCTATAAACCGTTTTTCCAACTCTCGAAGGTCGCGAGAACGAATCCGTTGAAACAGCTTGTATGTAATAAATTTTGTTTTAGCGTCTCACATTATCTCTTGGAGTTGGGAATAAAAAGAAAAGCTTAGTGTATCGGAAATTTACTACCACAAAGAACATAGCAATCTAAGATATATTATGAAGGCAAGCGTATTTGAAAAAAGAACGTGTTCCAGTATATTGTTTAGAAATTGGACTCTGAGTTTTTTTTTTAAATTGTTTCATGATGTTAAGATAAAATTATCTAGGGAATAATTATAATGCTGTCGCGTCAGAATGTTTGTATAAGACAGTGACAGCAACAATTTTATTTTTCAGATAACATTTATCTGACTATTGAAAAATCAGCCCTAATTAGTATTTTTGGGATAGTAATTTGTTGCGTGGCAAAAGCTATGGCAATTTGGATTTAATAAGGTAGATACTAAGCTTATTAATGTCGTAAAACAAATATTTTCTTTGATTATTATTTCTCTCTCTGTAAAAAATATCACATAAAAGTAAAACCTAAACCTGGTTTTACTTTTATAAGAGAATTTCTGGTCATTTCTAACATTTATATTAAGTATTATATTCTACTCAAAATTATTTAAAAATTATGTTCACACTTAATTCAGATAGTACTGGTAGGTGTACTAAGTTTGAAACGTGCCGTTCAAAGTTTTTTGGTTGAACAATTAAGTAAAGTTAGTACATCTGCATTTAGTGTAATTATACCAAAACATTTCAAATAAAAATTAAACTTTTGTTTAATGGTTTTAGTTCGCAATTGAGTTTTGCAAAGTTTAATAATACATATTTTGGTGTACATTATTTTATACAAGACTTTTTAATTTTTTATTTATTTTGTCACTTAAACTCGATTCGAATAAATTTGAATTAGCCGAAATATATTTTTATTTGGTATTTAAATAAAAGAACAAAATCTTTTGTATCAGGTTAACTATTTCAAAAAAAGAACATCATATACTTAAGTCGTAACGCCAAAAATAGAAGTCACTATAAATCCTGAGATTAGTGTTAGCATTATCCCCTTGATGTTAACCCTACAATAACTTAAAGCCTTTTCTGTAGAAGATATTTGCCTTCATTATCACTTGATTCCGTCCACAACTGGACATAGGCCTCCCCAAATGCGCGCCACTGAGCTCGATGTACAACTTTTCTTGTTAAAAAACAAATGCCTTGTTATAGATGAATACAAAATGTAAGAAAGGCTACATAATTCAACTTTACTATCTATTATACGATGTACAAGTGTATTATTATACGTTTTCTCGTCAAAATTTGCTAAAGGAATTATACAAAAGCGTATCCGAGGGTTGCCGTAAAACGCAGATTGTTCAGAGAATTTTAATAAACCTTCATGGTTTTCCTACTTAAATATATTAATACTTTTGCATAGAGCAGAGTTAAGTGTAGGAGAGCCATGCTTCGGCACGAATGGGTCAGCTCGACCGGAGTGATACCACGGCCTCACAGAAAACCGGCGTGAAACAACCATAGCGTTGTTTCGCCGCGTGAGTGAGGTTACCGGAGGCCCAATCCTTCCCCTCCCCCAATCCCTCCTCAATCCCTAAATCTCCAAATCCCTAATCCCTAAAAGGTCGGCAACGCACTCGTAACACCTCCGTTGCGAGTGTCCATGGGCGGCGCTGATTGCCTACCATCAGGTACCGTCTGTTCGTTTGCCGACCTATTACATAAAATCCTACTAATATTATAAATGTTTGTGAGAATGTATGGTTGTGTGCTTTTTACGTTGTTTTTTCACGCAAAATCGGCTGGACTGATATGATTGAAATTTGGTATGTAGATAGGTGATACCCTGAATTAACACATAGGCGTTTAATTAACATACGACGCGAGGGAAGCCGCGGAAAGCAGCTATATGTATATGCTATATGTATATGTATACATATATATTTATCAAGTGTTCAGTCATCAGCTATTCTTGAACATTATATTCAAAGGGAAAGTTACACGGAATTTTATTAAAAGTACAGAAATAAATCTGTTCCTTTTGAATATTTGGTAATCTCATTTGATGTTTTGACTTTTTTCTTGGAAAGTTTGATTTCAATCTTAATGATTTGTTTAGTTTATATAACAGTTTATATAGGTAAAATATTTTATTGACGTTTTGTTATAAACTAGATCGCGAAATCCATATCATGTATGTGTAAAAATTATTTCCAAAATGTTCATAAAATTCTGTTGCCTATATACATATTTACTGGAAATTGAAACTAGCTGACTGGAAAGGAAATAAGGGTTGATATTCTTTAGAATCGTTATAATCACATCAGAATAAA